CGTTTATGGATGTGTGAGCATGAGAGAAAGAGGGTTAGAGGGCGGTGCCTGGGGAAGTGGTGCGTCTCCTGGGGTGGAGCTACAAGAAGAGATTAAAAGCTAGACTGGGTTTGAATCCCAGCTCAGCCCCTTAAGTTGGTCAGTTACCTCTCTGAGCTCCAGTCTCCCCAGCTGTAACATGGGAGTCCTGATATTACTTACTTCCTAGTGTTATGTCAGAAACCCTGGTGGCATAGTGGTTAAGAGCTATAGCTGCTAACCTAAAGGTCAGCGGTTTGAATCTACTAGGTGTTCCTTGGAAACCCTATGGGGTGGTTCTGCCCTGTCCTATAGGGTTGCTATGAGTTGGAACTGACTCAGTGGCAACAGGTTTGGTTTTTTTTGGTTGGGTGTTATGACGAGTCAATGAGATGATGTGTGTTGAGCTTCTAACCTAACTCACAGGACACAGGACGCACTCAACAAATGGCCTCTGTTATGATCAATTTCATCATTCAGGCTGGCCCTGTGGTACCCAGGAGGACTCACTGCTGCTGGGGAGGGAGGTAAGCAGTGCACCAACCTGGGCTGTGAGGGCCCAGGGAGGAGGGTTTGGGATGGCCTCAGTGGCGGGCAGGGTGGTGGTGACCTGTGTGCTAGGAAGGATGTCACTAGAAGGGGTTGGGAGAGAGAGAAAAGACCTTGTGGACAGACCTGGACCCTGCCCTAGGGTCAGCATGGGGCATTCCAGAATCTTTCCTGTGCATGCACAAGTACACACACACATATTTTACTAAAATGGGATCATATGGTACCTACTGGTCTATAGTTTGTGTTTTTTGAATTGCTATAGAACAGATCTCAGCATGCAGTAAGCCCTATGTGTTAGCTATTACTGTTGTTATTGTTAAGTACAACTTTCCATATCAGTAAATATTAGGGTGACCAACCATCCTGGTTTGTCAGAGACTGAGGGGTTTCCTGGGACACAGGACTTTCAGTGGTAAAATCCGAACAGTTGGCCACCCTAGATATGGATCCATATCATTACCTACTTATGTCTATAATGGCCCCCAGAGATGTCCACACTCTGATCCCTGGAACTTGTGAATGTTATGTTACATGGCAAATGGGACTTTGCTGATGGAATTGGGGCTACAGACCTTAAGACAGGGAGATGATTCTGGAGGGTCACATCTAATCACATGTGCCCTTTGAAGTAGAGAACTTTCTCTGGCTGGAAGTAGGAGAGATGCGGCAGAAGAAGTCAGAGGGGTTCCAAGCATGAGGAGGACTTGACACGCTCCTGCTGGCTCTGAGATTGCCTTAGTTTCCCAGAACTGCTGTAACAGAAATATCGCAAGCAAGTGGCTTTAAAGAATATAAATTTATTTTCTCACAGTTCTGGAGGCTAAAAGTCTAAATCAGGGTCTCAACTGTGTCAATTCCTTCTGTGAGCTTGTGATTGTTAAGGTTGGGTGTCAACTTGGCTGGGCTATGATTCTCAGTGGTTTGGCAGTTATGATGTAGTCTGGTGGTTGTATGATGATGTGATCACTTCCATGATGAGATTTGACATAATGTGATCACCTCCATGATAGGATCTGCTGCGAGTAGCCAGTCAGTTGAAAGGGAGTTTCCTTGGGGGTGTGGCCTGCATCAAATATAAGTGGACTTTCTGGCAAGGCTCACTGCTCTGGATCCTGCAGCTGGCTCCTGTTTGTCTGACCTCCAGTTCTTGGGACTTGAGCTAGCAGCTTACATGCTGTCTTGCCTGCTGATCTTGGGATTCGTCGGTCTTTGCAGCCTGTGAGCAAGAGCCCTGCTGTCTGATGTACTGATCTTGAGTTTTCCAGCCCCTGCAGCTATGTGAGTAAGGAGAAGCCTCCAGCCTGACCCACGTTCCGGCCTCTACAACTGCATGAGCCATTCCCTTGATATAAATCTGTCTATAGATATATTTATATGCTTTACTGGTTTTGCTTCTCTAGAGAACCCAGCCTAAGACGGAGCCTCTCAGTTTCTGGTGTCCACCAGTGATTCTTGATTTTCTTAACATCTGTCTTCCCCTGTATGTGTCTCTGTGTCTAGTCTGGTATTTCCATAACTCAGAAATAATTAGGTTTAGGATTCACCCTAAACTGGTATGCCCTCTGTCTTAATCATCTAGTGCTGCTATAACAGAAATACCACAAGTGGATGGCTTTAACAAAGAGAAATTTATTTTCTCACACTCTAGTTAAGCTATGAGTCCAAATTCAGGGCATCAGCTCCAGGGAAAGTCTTTCTCTCTCTGTTGGCTCTGGAGGAAGGTCCTTGTAATCAATCTTCCCCTGGTTGAGAAGCTTTTCAGTGCAGGGATCCCAGGTCCAAAGGACGAGCTATTCTCCTGGCTCTTGTTTCTTGGTGGTATAAGGTCCCCCTCTCTCTGCTCACCTCTCTCTTTTTGTATCTCAAATTGGCTTAAACTGGAGATTAATCTTGAAGATTGAGTCTACATAACTGCCAGTAATCCCATCTCATTAATATCATAAAGATAGGATTTACAACACATAGGAAAATCGGATCAGATGACAAAATGGTGGATAATCACACAATACTGGGAATCATGGCCTAGCCAAGTTGACAGATATTTTTGGGGGACACAATTCAATCCTTGACAACCTCCTTAACACAACAAAAGAAAAACTCTTTCTGGAATAGGATCACACCTACTGAAACAAGGGCCAGGAATTCAACACATATCTTTGGGGGACACAATTCAACCCATAACAGAGATGCAGGGGTTCACATGAAGGTCAAGAGAGAGGCCTCCAAAAGCTGAGACAGGCCTCTAGCTGAGAGCCAGCAAGAAACAGGGACCACAGCCCTGCAACCACAAGGAACTGGATTCTGCCAACAACATGAATGAGCTTGGAAGTGGAGTCTTCCCAGCGCCTCCTGATCAGAGCCCAGTGGGCCAACACCTTGATTTCAGCCTTGTGAAGCCTGGAGCAGAGAAACTAGTTGAGCCCACCCAGACTTCTGACCTACAGAACTATGAAAGAATAAATGTGCGTTGTTTTAAGCTGTTCAATTTTTGGTATTTTGTTATGGCAGCAGTAGAAAACTCATACTGTTGGGCTGTATTCCCCTGTATGGATGTCTCCTAGTTAATTTATACCTCCCTTGTGATGGACATTTGGGGGTATTTCCACCTTTTTTGCCATTATAAATGTCCATGATTATTGCTTTGGATAAGTTCCTTGAAGGTAAATTGTTAGGTCAAAGTGATTTTTTGAGGCTTTTGGTACATATTGCCAAATTGCTCTCCAGAAAGGTTTAACCGGTTCTTATAGCACCCTGCCCCCAGGTATGTATAGTGTCCCTTCACCTACACTGAGTCCCATTATTATTTTTTAATTTTTATCATTTAGAGAGGGAGAAATTAATATTTCATGTTGTTTTAATTTTGCATTTATTGGACAGCTAGAGAAGCTGAACATCTCTCCTTATGTTTGTTGATGTTTTTTTTTCTTTTTTTGTGACTTGACTTTGCCTACTTTTCTAGTAGTGTTTTTGTCTTCTTCTTGTTGATTTTAAATAGTTCTTTATATATTAAGGTTATTCCCCTCTGCACACTGGATAGTCAGAGCGACTCCCAAACTTTCTGTAGAGTAAGAAGCAGAAACAGATTCTGCCAGGGACTCACTGGGCACTGGGTGCTTGGCCCCAGAGCCCCTATTCTGTAGAGGATCCCTGGGGTTGGGCAGCAGGTAGGGGCTAGGCAGGCTGGGCAATGGGGGACAGTGGCAAGGAAAGAAGAGAGAAGGTTCAGAATTGAAATCAAAGGCTCTGAGTGGCAGAGCCGTAATGGGAGGCAGATGGAGGAAACAAGGTTGCCCTTGCTGACAGGAGGGAGGTTAGGGGGCACTGAGCTTTCTAAAGATAGGAGCCTAGGTGACGGGCAGTCGGCTCCATAGTGTGGTGCCCAAGGGCTATGAGAGGGCAGAGGTTAGCTCCTCCCCCCTGCCTGCCCAGACCCTCTCTGGCTCAGAGCTGGAGGAGCTGCAAGGACACTCTACCCCCCAGAGGCTAGAAGCATGGAAGAGTCCCACAGACCTGGGTTGGAGTCTCAGCCTAGCTGTGCATCCTTGGATAAGCCCTCAAATCTCTCTGAGCCTCAGTTTCCTTGTTTTTTAAAATGGAATACTAATGTTGTTGTTGTTGGGTGCCGCTGAGTTGATTCCGACTCCCAACTCCTAGTGACCCCATGTGACAGAGTAGAACTGCCCGATCGGATTTTCTTGGCTGTAATTTTTATGGAAGCAGATCTCTAGGTCTTTTTCCCACAGAGCTGCTGGGTGGGGTCGACCCACCAACCTTTCAGTTAGCAGCTTAATCGTTTGTGCCACCAGGGCGCCTTGGTGTACAAATAGTCCCTGACTTACAAAGGGGTTTTGTTCTTACGACTCCGTCATAAGTTGGTTCTGACATAAGTTGAATACCTCTTTTTTTTTTAGTTTTCATTATTATTGCCTTGTATCATCAGTATCTTTATAAATCTGATCCTTGTCTTTGGGAATTGGCATGAGAATAACATCAGCAAATTACGTGCTACAACACTGTATGTAGTACATATTACTAATGATAAAATGTACCAAAAAAAAGGACGGTCGTAAGTGCGGTCGTTGTAATTTGAATACATCAAGAGTCAGGGACTACCTGTACTATATCACCTACGTAATAGGATTTAATGAGGTCAGCATGTCAAGCATCTAGCACATGGAAAACCCAAACCAAACCAAACCTATTGCCATCAAATTGATTCTGACTTATGGTGACCCCATGTGTTACAGAGTACAGCTGCTCCATAGTTTTCTTGGCTATAATCTTTAAGGAAGCAAATTGCCAGGCCTTCTGCGGAGCCACTGGGTGGGCTCAAACCACCAACCTTTAGATCAGCAGCTGATCAAGAAGCACTTGAGCCATTCAGGCACGAACGCATAGAAAGGGCTCAGTAAATAAAAGTTTACTCTTACTGTTATCGTAATTGCCGAGCCCCTCGCCCCGAACAGCAGAGCCCATCAGCGACATCAAGGAGCTCGCCATTGGATCCATGACTGTCAGAGCTGGAAGGGTCTTCAGGGTACAGGTGAGGAAGCTGAGGCCCAGATATGGAAAGGACCATGCTCGGGGCCATCCATGGAGGCAGGGCAGAAGCTGGCCTCAGACCAAGTTGTCCCACCCAGCTCTGCCTAGGATGCTGTTCTGATCTGGACTCCATTCTTGACAAGTCTCCTCTGGTCACTCACTGTGTGTCCTTGGGTGGTCAGCCCCTCTGGGAACCTTGGTCTCCTTGCCTGTTCGATGGAGCAAGCATCTCTTGATCAAATGAAGAAAGAGCTGTGAAGTCCCTGGGTTGGCAGTGGGCCACTTCCCTATTCAGGGCCTTGGGATCAATTTGTGGGGGGAAGAGTTTTCAGGGGGCGGGAATGAACCCTTAAAGCATGGGCAGACATTTCTGGCCCCCTCCAGGGTAACGCCTAGGGAGACTGAGGCACAAGGGAACAGGTGTCTCATTGTTGCCAGGTGGGAATTCAGACCCAGATGACCAATCCAACTTTACAAGGCAAGCTGGAAATCCCCATTTCTATGTGAGCAAAATTTCCCTATTTCACTCAAGAAGACACTACTTTGCTGGGGCAAAAGCCAAGGCAGAAGTGTGCTGGGAGTTGTGGACCGTGCAGTTCAGTGCTCCTTCTGGGAAGCCCAAGACTAAAGGGGCTTAAATCCAGTTGCCTGCTCCCCACCTCCCGTCACTGCTCCTTTACTTAACCGAGGGAGGGGCAAACCATGGCGTTTTGAGGGCCTGATGGGAGTTTGATGGTTTTTGATCTGCATAACAACCTTGGAAACTTAGTAATAATGGCCAGCAATTATTCAGCCCCTACTGCTTACTTGACCCTGTGGGTCCCCATAGCTGGACTTGGGTGTGCTTTGGACTGGTTTTTCTTGTAAAGTCTGTTTTGCTCATGGCAGAGGCCTTATTCTGCCCGTTTCTAAGTGTCTAATCATAAGATACATCAGGTTGCCTTTAAATGTACCTGTTAACGTTTTTTTCCTGGGCTCAACAACTCCTGCCGTCTGGCAAGTGCAAGTACGAGAGAGACCCCTCCCCGCCCCCCCCTCCCCCCATGGCAAGTGCCCAAGGCTGTGATGTGAACTGCTGGGACCGAAACACCTCTTCATAACCAACTTTCCAGAATTATAAGGCATCAAGGCTCGGCCGTAGGACCGAGAATGTAATGGCTCTAATAGGATACCAAGACCCCACAACAGTGGTTCCTGGCTTTCGCTGCTTCCTGCCAGACTCGACTTCAACCTGCGTTTACAGAGCTTTGATCCAGGATCTTAGGTGGGTGTAATTATTCCCATTTTACAGATGAGAAAATGCAAGTTCAAGGCAGAAAATGGCAGGAGCCGGCAGCCAGCCTGGGCCAGGTACTCCCGGGGATAGTGAACAAGGAATTGTCCCCACTGCCCGTGGGGTGGTTGGGAGTGTGGAGAGGGTGATCTTCATCATTCCACAGTCAGAGTGCCCACGAGGAAAGAAGTGTGGCCGTAGCACCTCTTGGGGGTCGGTGGGAGCAGAGAGCCAGGCCACGCCGAAAGTAGCCGTGGTCTGATCCGAGCCGCGCTGTGCTCGGGGGCGTCCGAGGCTCGAGTCACCACCCCAGCCTCCGGAGAGCTGGGCAGTGCCCAGGCCTGAGCGCGCAGTGGGCGGAGTTCGGACTGCGCCCAGCGGCCGCGGGCAGGATCGTAGGGCTGGTCCGGGGCTGGAAGAGGCGGGCCTCCCTCGGGTTCGAAATTGGCTTGCGAGACATCGCCGTCTCCTTCGCCAGGGCGGTCTCCCTGGCCTGCCCCGGGTTTGCGCTCCAGGACGCGCAACGGTCCTCCGAGTCCCAAGGGGGCGCCGTCGGCACCCAACTCTCCTTCCTGGGCCTGCGCGGGCCGGAAGTGCAAAGTTTATTTCCGGCTCGGAGTAGCAGATTGGGAGGTGGATCAGACCTGGCGCAGATTTCGGGGGCTGGACCAACAGAGACCGGCCCAACAGAAACCAGGCTAGGCCCACCGGAACACGCTCAGTCGGCGTCTCGGCCTCAGCGGCAAGATCGGCTCTTGTAGTGCCCGGGGGCCGCCGCAATGCCATTCCTGCACGGCTTCCGAAGGATCATCTTCGAGTACCAGCCGCTGGTGGACGCGATCCTGGGCTCCCTGGGTATCCAAGATCCCGAGCGGCAGGAGCCCCTGGACGGGTAACGTGCTTCCTTCCTGCAGGCGGGCCTTGGCCGCTCTGATCCAGCGCTGCTTTCGTCTTTAATTGTCACTGCAAGCTTGGTGGAGCCGGGAGGCCGGAATTGCGAGGCTTCCAGCGGGAGCGCCTCCGCGCTTACCCATATCCTGCCTCTTAAGGGTGGTGGGTGCTCCCGGCCAGCACTGGTGAATGAAGGAGGGTGGAGGTGTCAGCAGGGCCTCCACCTCAGGGCCCCACACTGTGCACTCCCTGCCCTGTGCCCTCCACCTGGAGTTGTAGAAGACCAGGAATCCGCGAGGGCCTCAATGTTACCCAAGAGCAATGTGACGATAAAATTTTTGTAGCTGACTTCGCGTTTTATGTACCCAAGAGCATGTCTGTGCATGAACTTATGGGAAGAGCGTTATAAAGTGAATCTTTCCGTCAGTCAATATTCACTGCCCACTATACTATGCAGTTGGGGTACATCAGTGAACTAAACAAAAACTGCAACCTTCATGGTGCTTAAGTTCCAGAGGAGAGAGACTGACAACAATCCTAAGTAAACTGTACAGTGTGTTAGGTGTAGTGGAGACACGAGAGCAGAGGAAAGGGGGATCAGGTGTGTGTGTTGGGGGGGGATCACTTGTACTTTCAACCACGGTGGTTATGATGAGTCTCTAGGGGCTTTGGTGGAAACGTAGTCTTTCTTCATTACTGCATCTGCACTGTTCATGTTGAGGCTTGCTGTGAAAATGCAGTGCGAGATGTTTCCTTGACTCAGCGGTCATTCTGGGTGGGGTAGGGCAGCAAAGAGGGCTGCATGGACTTTTCAGTAGCCCCGTGCAGGAACTCTGTTCCAGAATGTTCACTTTGCATCCATGGTGTTGTGGGCACTCTCCAGGGTTGGGGTGGGTGCAGAGGGATGAGATGGAATCCTGTCCAGTCAGTAATGATCCAACCTTGAACCAGCCAATTGAAGGGACACAGATGGGTGAGGCTGAGAGGGGGCAAAGGGAGCACCAGTGAGGAAGGGAAGCCTCACCAAGAAGAGGAGGTGGCAGTCTGTGAAGGAGCCTGCGATGCTTTGAGAGCCTATAAGAGGGGAAGGCAGGAGGGCTGCTGCCGCCCTGGCTGGTCTGATGTCCTCTGCAGCTCAGGGACAGTCAGTGTCTTTGAGTGTGAAGGGCTTTTTCAGGAAGGAACATCAGGGTCTGGTTCTGGCTTCTGGCCTTGAGGATTCCCTTCGGTCTTAACAGTCCAAGTACGTAAGCATTTGTACCCAAGCGGGGGACCAGGTTGGGAGGAGACTGGAAACAGACCCAGTCCTTTGTCAACAAACCCCAGGACTCAGCTCCAATTTAAATACCTAGCTTGGCCCTCTCTCAACCATCAACTTCCAGAGAGAGGCTTTCTGCCCCACAGAGCCTGCCCCTGCCCTCTGTGAGTGATGACAGCATGAGTGTAATGGCCACCAGCTGGGTGGTAGGGCTCTTTGCTGCAGGGTGGCCTGCCGGCTGGTCCCATGGCTGTTCCCACCCTCAAGTGGTCTCCCTCTCCTCCCCCAGGCCCAGTTATGTTGCCAGCGAAGACAGCCGAATCCTTGTTCTCACTGAGCTGCTGGAGAGGAAGGCCCACTCCCCATTTTATCAGGAAGGCGTGAGCAACGCCCTGCTGAAGATGGCTGAGCTGGGGCTGACGCGGGCAGCGGATGTTCTCCTACAGAACGGGGCCAACCTCAACTTTGAAGGTCAGCTGGCACCTTGAGGGGCTGGGGGTGGGCAGTTGACTTAAGTTTTTGGCCCTGCCCTGGGTGAGCAGCCAGGCCTTAGGGCCCTGCACTTACTGTTCTTCTAGGAGCTACCTGTCATTTTTTAAAAGTGTGTGACGACTGAGGCGGCACACATTGGGTGGCCTCCCGCCCCCTCCCAGCTTTCAAATGGCTCTTGCCACCTCTGTTCCGGGAGCAAGTTTGTTGCTCCTACTGTGTGATTTGATTTAGCAAACCTTCCCCAGCTCCCAGATAGATCCCTGCTTCCATTAATGTTGTGAAAATGTGGCTGCTGGCACTGTGCCCGAGCTAAGGAAAGGTAATTTTCTGCCACTTTTTGAGCCATCTTGTGTTTTTGTTCCTGCTACAAGGAGAGGAAAAAACAGATAAGCCACACTGGGCATAGATCCTGATGGGTCCATGTTGGTCTCTGGCTTCTAAGTGCAGGAGTGGTGATAGAGCCTCTCTCCTTTCCTCTCTGCCTTTCACCCAGGAGGGCAGGGCTGGCCCAGAGATGGGGGGTCTCTGTGCTGATACAGGATGTACCCAGGCATGCTTTCCCTCCCCATTTGAGGAGAGGCTCAGAGGCTGTTGGGCTCCTGGTGGGTCAAGGAGCTGAGGAAGGAGGGCCCATTCAAAATCAGACCTTTGATAATTTAGCTATTATTACCAAGCTCAAGGAACAAAGCAGCCAGAGAGCTGCCATTCCACATTCCTCCCAATGCCCTGTGAAGAGATGCCCCATGTTGTGGCCCCATTTTACAGACAAGGAAGCTAAAGCCCAAACAGGTTAAGTAATATGCCCACTAGAATGTCCCAGGACCTGAAGTGACTCTAGTGTTTGGTGAGGACAGCTCTGTCCTGACCTCTCCTGGTGATAGGAGTCTGGGCCTGGGGCTTCCGGGGGTTTGAGGTAGGAGTGCTCGGGCTGGGCTCCGAGGTCAGATCCTAGAACTCTGTGAAGATATACCAGTAGGCAAGACCATCCATGAGCTGCGTCTGTGCCCTCAGACCCAGTCACCTACTACACCGCCTTGCACATCGCCGTCCTGCGAAACCAGCCCAACATGGTGGAGCTGCTGGTACGCCATGGGGCCGACATTAATCGGAGGGACCGGGTAAGCAGCCAGGTCCAGCCGACCCTGTGGGGGCACCTGTGGTGGGAACCTGAGTAGTGTTACAGGCCCCCAGGCCAACCTGGCTTGTGCTCTCTTGGCTCAGATTCATGAGAGCAGCCCCTTGGACCTGGCCAGCGAGGAGCCAGAGCGCCTGCCCTGCCTGCAGCGCCTCCTGGACCTTGGAGCAGATGTCAACGCGGCTGACAAGCATGGTGGGTTCTCCCGCAGAGAAGTAGAACAGCCCTGGGCCTCAGCACTTTGTGAGGAAGAAAGCCCAGGGTAACCCAGGGTCTGACAGTTAGGTGGGCAGGCTGGATGCCGGCCCCATCGAACTGCACAGTGCCGCTGGGCACACAGGTGGATTTTGGCGACTTACCGAGTTCCAGAGTTCGGAAGCTTGAGAGAGGCAGTGCTTTCACTGTTCCCACACAGGCCCCCCAGGGCTGTCTTAGTAGGTGGAAATGTGGTGTGTGTGCACTCAGCTTCTGAGGGAATGAAGGCTTCCTGTTGGGAGACACCCAGCCCAGGTCTCAGCTTAGCCTCTCGATGTCCAGAAAAATCCTACATCTCCTGGTCTTTCTGCTCCCATTTTGTGCAGGTGGAAAGAGAATGGCCAGTCCTTTTTCATTTTTTTGGTCCTTTAGGTGTCTGTTTCCACCTCCACCTTTGGGGTTGCCCGGACCCCAGCTTCCTGGCCTCCCACTCACCTTATTTTCTCCCTTCCTCGCCAGGAAAGACCGCTCTGCTCCACGCTTTGGCCAGCAGTGACGGGGTGCAGATCCACAATACTGAGAACATCCGACTCTTACTGGAAGGAGGTGAGGCTTGTCCTTTCACACAGCACTTGTCCAGTTTCTATAGGCTCCCTCACCCCCTTTAAATGTAAAGCGTTAATTTGCAAGGGTTTAAGGCCGCCTCCCACCTTCTGGTCTCCTCATGGCTCTTCTAGGGGCAGATGTCAAGGCTACCACCAAAGACGGGGACACTGTGTTCACCTACATCATTTTTCTGCTCGGTGAAACAGTGGGAGGGGACAAAGAGGAGGCCCAGCTGATCAACCGCTTCTGCTTCCAAGTAACGCAGCTGCTCCTGGCTCACGGGGCAGACCCCAGTGAGTGCCCAGCCCACGAATCTCTCACCCATATCTGCCTCAAGAGCTTTAAACTCCATTTCCCTCTCCTGCGCTTCCTGCTGGAGTCTGGAGCCGCCTACAACTGCTCCCTCCACGGGGCATCCTGCTGGTCCGGCTTTCACATCATCTTTGAGAGGCTCTGTTCCCACCCAGGCTGCGCTGAAGATGACAGCCACGTGGACCTTCTGCGCAAAGCTGAGACAGTCCTGGATCTCATGGTGACTAACTCCCAGAAGCTCCAGCTGCCTGAAAACTTTGACATCCACCCTGTGGGCAGCCTGGCAGGAAAGATCCAGGCCCTGCACTTCTCCTTGAGGCAGCTGGAGAGCTACCCCCCACCCCTCAAGCACCTGTGTCGCGTTTACATCCGACTCTACCTTCAGCCATGGCCTGTGGATGTAAAGGTCAAGGCCCTACCTCTGCCAGACCGGCTCAAGTGGTACCTCCTCAGCGAGCACAGTGGCACTCTTCAGGATGACATCTGACAGGTCCCAGGCAACCCTCTAGCTTTCCAGCCCCCCGACTAAAGGGAACAGTGGTCTAGGTAGCTGAAGTCAGCCTGTTGATGGATTTAAGTATCTATGACAACCTTAAGGAGCCCTGGTGGCATGGTGGTTAAAGCACTCAGCTGCTAACTGAAAGGTCTGTGGTTTGAACCCACCAGCCACTCCACAGGAGAAAGATGGGGCAGTCTGCTCCCATAAAGATTACAGCCCTTGTAAAGATCACAGCCTTGGAAACCCTATGGGGCAGTTCTACTCTGTCTATCTATAGAGTCACTATGAGTTGGAATCCACTTGACGACAGTGGGTTTATGACAACCTAAGTGGTCTTTGATCCTGGAAATCTTTGGTCCCATCTATCAAGTGGTGCAGGTTGGAGATGAGACCTGGTCTGTAATCAATACAAAGCCAGGTAGAGCCCAGCATCTGTGTTCATTCCAGGGAGACTGCCTCTCTTCCAGCAGCACCCCCAAGTTTCAACCCACATTGGAAAAAGGGAGCAGGGTTTAGGTTTGGGAAAAGCTTACTCCCTCTTACTTAGAGGGGAACCCAGGGCATTTAGAGAAGCAGGGACGCACTAAGCCTAGGCACTCCGGAGAGCTGCAGGACAGACACAGCTGAAGCTGGAAGGAAGCAGGGGAAAGCCTCATCATTCCAGATTTTGCCACACATACAAGTGCTCTTGGTGAGCTGGGGAAGGCATGTAAAGACCACCAGAGGCTCTTCTTCCAGGTGTCATAAGCCGAGCTGACCCCTGCCAGCTTCTGCAGGTCTGGGGCCAGGTCACCTGCAGCCTTGCCCACCAAAGCATCAAGGCTGTGCTCTGGTGGCAGCTCTGCTTGTGCCAAACCCAGGGTTGGGGGACGTGCCTTCTGCTTAAAAGTAATCACATGTGTATGACCAGGGAGAGCCCTTCCCCAAATGTCTCATACTGTGAGGGGCTCACATGATGGAGAAAGCCACCAAGACTGAAAGCTGAACCCTCTACAAAGTCATTCCAAAGTCACATTGGTCATTATGAATTGTGCAGAACTACATGCCTTTGGGTATAAGCTAAGGTAACTATATATTTATAAACTGATTTAGAAACTGATTTCTCTTGCCCTTAAAGTTATTTATATAACGTTCTCGCCTGTACCCTCCCGTCCCGATTCAGGATAAAGGATCCCATGGAGCTAATAAGAGGTGGTGGGCATGAGGAGATAAGCACTTGGGGAGAGCTCCCAAGTAGAGCGATGTTGTCCAAGTACAGAAAGCACCACTCCAGCCTGGCCAGGGCCTTCACAGTCCAGGGATTCACCCTTTATTTTTGACTGAAAATGCCTGCAAGGAGGAGCCACAGGCATCTCCCCTTGCTGCAGGATGCTGTGACTGTCACAATCATTACAGACACCATGGCCCCCTCACCAAATAGGACTTGGAACCATGAACATTCCCACAAGCTGCACAACATGGCTGACTCCAGGGTGGTTCTCCCCAGCCAGGAGCGTGCAGAGACCCGCAGGCTCCACTGCCTGGCTTATTTCTCTCAAGGAGGCCACACCTCCCCCTCCCCCCACCGGCCCCCACTAGGTAAAGACCACAGTTCTTCAAGTCCACAACAACAGGGTTATTCTCTTCCTCTTAAGGCAGCAAGACCTATGATTGAAAGGCCAGGTAGTATTAGCAAGACCTAGAGGACTTCAGCATCTGATGTGATCACTATCTTCCCACGTAGGGAGCACCTGGAGCCACACAGGCTCCGCTCCCTGCCTTTCAAGGTGGGCAGAGCCAGGCTCCTTGTGTGCCCCCACTGGGTCCCCTTTTGCCTTTGTAAAAAGAGTCTGTATAGTGAGTAGATAACAAACAGGTATATTTAGTGGCCTCTCAACACCCCTGAACCATCAACATGAGCCTCTGGTTCTCTCACAGCTGCCAGCTCCCTTCCCACCCCTACACTGATCCCTCGGTTTTTCTGCCAACCAGCCAAAGCTCATCTGAGGGCAAAGCTGTAGACGTGGTAAATCTCGTCAGGAAGGTTCTCCTGCCTCTCCTCGGCTAGGAGACTGAGGCCTGCACTGCGGATGATCCTGCGGACCACCTCGAGGTCCCGGCACACGCTGCTGTCCACATCATCCAGGATCACGCCCTCCTGGGCCATGTTGTCTTTGATGACGATGATGCCGTTGGGGCGCAGGCCCCGCTTGCAGCGCCGCAGGAACTCAGCCAGGTGCTGGTCAGTCAGGTGGCCTGGGGGAGGTAGAGGCCCTGGTTACTAGGGGGGCAGTGCAAGCGTGTACATGCCACTGGGTGCTTTACAGCCACTGCTCACTGAGCACTTCGTTTGTATCCAGCATTTTGTCAGGTGCTTAACACACAGGGCACCTCGATGACTCTCAGAGCAGTCCCGAGAGGTTCTGCTGGCTCAGAAGTCACCTACCAGAGGGCAAAATCCAGTGGGTGTGAGGTTGGGATTGAACCCTGATTGTGTGACTTCCATGTGCTGCCCTTAATCCACATACCATGTCACCCACCTGAGTGTACCCGGTTCTCAGGTTTCAGTGTTGCAGGGGTTCCCAAACAGATTCCCTTCCCTACATTCAAGTTCCAGCCAAAGGCTTCTTGGGACTACAAGATACAGGCCCAAAGCATTCAAACCAGGGCCATGTTGCCAGCCCTGGAGGTGGTGGCTGGCTGCCAGCACGCTGGCCTGCTGCCAAATCAGCAGTGGCAGAAGGAGCACCCTGGGTCAGCCCTGAGTGTGCTGCTAAGATAAGCAGGTGCAAGACAGTTACCGTAGCAGAGCCGGTTCACTGGGAACAGAAGGAACAGCCAACGCTTAAGCTTTTCATGTTGTTATTAAAAACTCATTTTCACTTTCTTTGAATGCAGTAATTGGCCATTTAACTTTTCGACAAAAACTGCCCCCAAATGGACTGCAGCAGGTACTAAGTTCCAATGAAACACTGAAGGGAGATCCTGAGACACATAGAGGAGGACACGAGGACTCCTTGCCGGCCTGCTTGCTGCGGGAGCACGGGGGCAGAGCTCCCAGGGCCTTGTGGGGAACCTCAGTGGCAGGACATGTTCAGGAAGGTGTAGAAGGGAAGCAGAATCCTCACCTATCACCCACTGGATCCAGATAACGTCGTAAGAGCTAGGCTCTGGGCTGAAGTCCTGGAGACCACAACAGAAGTAGTTCCTCACTCTCTTGCCCTCCTCACCCAGGTAGGTCTTAGCTTTAACCAGAAAGTCCTCGGTCAGATCAACCATATCCACCACTTTGAACAATGGCAAGAGCAGCCGCTTGGTGATCCTTCCAATGCCAGCTCCACAGTCCAGGGCATAGGAAGTTCCTGTCTTGTTTGGGCCTTCCTGAAAAGCAGAGAAAGGTATAATCTATAGGGAAGGGTGGGAAACCCAGAGACCTTGTCACTGCAAAGGGGCAGGTCCCTATTAGCCCCAGGAAAGACTCAAATCAGGACTCAGTACAAGCTACCAACCCGCTGATGGGGACTGTCAGTGGATGTAGGCGCGGGACATTCTCCTTTATCTGGGCCACGTGTTTCTAAAACGAAAAGCTGACTTCCACTTAGAGGTGACAGCCTGAGTGTGTGCATTGATTTCCTATTCGTCCTGAGACCCCATTAAAATGACAGCACAGTGAAAAGAATGGAAAAGGGACAATTGGTGAACAAGGGAGTTCAACAAACTCGGGAAGATGGAATGTGGGTGGAGGAGAAGACACTGGACAAAGCAGGGGAGCAAGCAGCAGCCTCCAGGGCTTGCCACAGGAAAGGAGGAGGGCCCAGGGGAGGCTCCACCACAGAGATCCCAGCCTGTAGAGAGGAGGGTGGGGGTGAAAGGCATTGGGCTAAAACCACAGTGAGGAACTAGGAGTCTTCCTACAGCAGAATAGCCAAATGCCCACAAACATGGCAGGAGAGTAAAAATCTCATCCCCGGCAAAACTGAACAGACTTCTATATTCCAGCACCCGGGTACCCCAGCACAACAGCCAGCTTCTTTCTGGTAATCTTAAAGCAAAGTCCACCGCCCAGAAGTCTCGCCCTTACACAGAGGCCTTGCTGTTCAATACAGTCAACCGAAGACCCTGTGGTGCTACATGTAAAAGGTGGCGCCCCATGCAGACCAGGCGGTGCCACCAGAGCCACAGCCTCTCCTCCTGGAGAGCACACCAGACCTGCCTACCCTCAAGAACCTCTGCAGGAACTTCCGGGAGCTGTTGATGTCGATGCTGGAGATGTGGCCATACCCCCCGAGCATGCCGTCCACTGTGGGTGGGACTTCTTTCCAGTACGTCTTGGCCTTTGAGTAGAATTGCTTCTCGTCTTCTATCACCTCGCTTGTCATAGTGTTACCAACCACGTCTCTGCTCAAGTGCTCAGCAACAGTGCCTCTCCTGTGCAAGAAAAAGAGGAGAAAATCAGCCCAGTCCAGGTACCCAGTGGAAAGGCTCCCTCGGGTAGAGGGCCAGTCTCATCCCAGGCTTTGCGTCACACGATCTTGCCTGATGTAGAAGAATGTTCACTATCTCAAATCTGCTCCTGCCCCTTGGATGATAGTACCTTCAGTCTCTTGCATTCAAGTTATTCTGCAAAGCTGTCTTCATAGCAAAGCAAGAGACCAAAAGTCCTGGCTTCTACTTCTTCAGCCACACCTGACTCAGTGGCTTCTGAAGCCAGAGGATAGATAATCCCAACCTGCATTTAGAAGAAAGTACAGCAAAGCAAGGAACTCATTCTAGCTGATCCTGAGAAGGGCCTGAGGTGTCCCCATGCCCCCTTTTCCCCTCTCACTCATAAACAGAGAAACAAGCTCACCCATGGGGTCCATTCTTTTACTAACAATGAGCGGGGATTCTGTGCCAGGTAGTGTGCTATAACAATGATACAGCCAGACAGTAAAAGTTACATGTAGATACAAATAATTACAAGGGTGGTGAGGGCTGCGAAGGAGAAATATAAGAGCATACACCACAGGAACCTAACTCCGTTGGGGGAGATCCGGGAAGGCATCCTCGAGGAAGGGACATAGAAACTGAGACTAAAGAATGAGGTAGAGTTAGCCAAACAAACAGAAGGCAAGAATATTGCTCCAGGAAGCAAGGAGCATGCAAAGAACCTTTGCAACTGGAAACTCAAGTCTATGGGTCACATTTAGTAGTTTGGGCTTTACCCTAAAGAGTATGAACCTGACCACTAAGGTAATCAGGCATGAGAATATCTGTTTCTGGAAAACTGTGTTGACAGCTACGGGGACTGTAGGGGGCAAGAGTGCATGCAGACACCGATTAGAAGACTATTACCATGGCGTGGGAGAGGGAATTACAGAACAGCAGACAATGCCCTGGCAGCAAAGCGAAGGGCCACCACAAGCAGCAGGAGAGTGAGGTGACTTGGCAGCTGTGCACTCAGCCAGCCGGGCCACATTGTGCCAGGGAGGGGTGGACAGATCACATCTCTACCTGAGGCACTGGCTATATAGTCAACTGACATTCACCACACGTAAGGCACTGTTCTGGTTGCTAAGAGGCTTAAAAAAACAAAAAACAAAACCCACTGCCTTTGAGTCGATTCCGACTCATAACGACCCTACAGGACAGAGTAGAACTGCCTATAATCGTTAAGGTTGTGTATCAACTTTGCTGGGACGTGATCCTCAGTGTTGTGGCAGTTATGATGCAGTTTGGCAGTTGTATAATGATATAATCATCTCCATGATGGGATCTGTTGTGAGTAGCCAATCAGTTGAAAGGGAGTTTCCTTGGGGGTGTGGTCTGCATGCAATATATGTGGACTTTGTGGCAAAGCTCCCTGGTTCTTGCTCTGCTCTGGATCCTACATTCGGCTCATCAGCATCCGACCTCCAGTTCTTGGGACTTGGGCCGGCAGCCTGCCGTCTGACCTGTGGGGTCTTGGGTTACCCTCTGCAGCTACATGAGTCAGGAGAAGCCTCCAGTCTGATGCCTCACCCACGGACTTGGGACTTGCCAGCCTCTACAACCACATGAGCCATTTCCCTGAGATAAATTTCTCTCTCTCTCTGTATATATATGCTTTATTAGTTTGGCTTCTCTAGAGAACCCAGCCTAAGACACTACCCCATAGGGTTTCCAAGGCTGTAATCTTTACAGAAGCAGACTGCCACATTTCTCCCATGGAGCAGCTAGTGGGTTCGAACCGATGACCTTTTGGTTAGCAGCTGGGCTCTTAACCACTGCACCACTAGAGCTCCTTGCTACAAGGCTTACCAAGATAAAATACCAACTCTCAGAGAGCTTACAGTAGGAGACCTGAAAAATATGGAACCAACTAAATACAAGGCAGAAAAACTGAGGCCTCTGAGCCATACAGTGCTGTGAGAGTGCAAAGAATGGAGGAATCCCTTCTGAATGGCAGGTAGGGGCAGCAGCCCAGGGAAGACAACTGCTAAGCTGGGCCTTGAAGGACAAGGAGTGCTCTGGATAAGGCAGAGGATCTGGGGGTCACAGGCAGAGGCAGCATAGCATGACAGTGCGTGAGGAATGGCGATGGGCTCGGCCAGCTGACATGTGGAGAGAGAATAATGTGGGAAAACAGCCTGGAAAAGCAGACCAGGCCTGGCTTGTGGGGGCGCCCTGAGTACATGCTAGGGGCTGCCGGTCTAGTCTGTCAGTAGTAGCCGATCAACTGAGAGTTTCGGAAGGGTGAGGGGGTATGCTGTGACCTGATCTGAGGCCGAGCAGTAAACAAGCAGCATCAGTGGTGACAATAGCAGCAGCGGCAGCTTACATGTTGACGGACATATACTAAGCACTTTTCATTTACCACTCAATCTTTCTCACAAATTACCTCGTGAGTCAGGTACTACAATCACCCCCATTTTATAGATAAAGGATCTGATGCAGATGAAAGTGAGGTAAACTACCAAGGGTCAAGAGGTCTGTGCACAAGCCCTAGGCCTTGACTGCTCCTCCCATGTGGTCAGTTCATTCTCATCATCTGGGTCTCAGCTTAGGTGTTACCTCCTCAAAGAGGCCCTCCCTGACCAGCCTATCTAACTGGCTTCCTCCAACATCGTTAACCAATCACTATGTTTTGCTGCCTTCAATTCTGTATTTCTATCAGAAATAACACTATCTTTCAGCCCCCACTAGAATGTAAGCTCCAGAGGGCAGCCCCTTGCCTGTTCATCACTGCATCCCAGCACTGAACCCCCAGGCGTCCCTCAGTGCAATATGTGACAGAAGAATGATCTGCCCCAACACTGGCCTGTAAGCTCCCAGGGGGAGGGACTGTATGTAGGCACAGTGGGGAGGAGCCCTGGAGGCAGGGAGGAAATCTCTCTACTCCTTCAGGAAAGCTTCTGTGCTCCGGGCTTTTGTTCCCCCGCCCACCTTTACACTACTCCTTTGGTTGTAATAAGTCCAGAAGGACATCACTGACCCTTGGAATTATAGGGTCAACACAGAAGGAGTCAACATGTAGAACCCAAATATAACCCTCAAGGAAAAAAATATAAAATCAAGGAATGCTTCAAGAGACATGATCAGATAAAAAGTAGCCTGAGGACATACACAAGACCTTCAAGACACATAATTTAGAGACTATAAAAAGAGGAAGGGGAACAAAACACAAGAAAAGCTAAAGAATGTTCATTGGTCGTATCTGTTAGTAGCACCCAATGCACAGTCTGACTGAGCTTGTCCTGAAACAGAAGGTGCCCTCCAGAAGCAGCAGGCACACCCGGCCAAACAGCTCAAAATACTTTTGACGGCACCAAGCCAAAGTGGGATGCAATTCTGCTTCTGTCACTAGTCAGTCAGCCCTTTCTAGAGGACTCAGCCAGTCAGTGGGGGCAGCAGGCAAGGGCCCACCATAGCTACTGAGAGCAAATGGGAAAGGGCCTGCTCTCTATCGCTGGACCTGGCTTCTTCAGCAGATTTGGGTCCTCTTCATCAACACAGTCACACACTGGGCTCTCAGGGATGAGACGAGAGCTGGTAACATCCATGTGCTCCACCAAGGTCCAGTCCTCCTTAGAGCTGTGACTTGGGCACTGTTTCCACCCATAATGGCACCCTTTAGCTGTGCCCAGAGAATTCAGCTCAAATACCTCTTCAGATTCCTGAATCTACTCAGACTGATACCCTGACTTCACTGTTCAGGTTTTAGGGCCATGATGACAACAAGCGACAGTCACTGCACCAATCATGTAGCCTCTGGGCTAACAGGCTAAGGGGGGCCTTGGTTCTAAATACTGCACCCTCCTTGGCTCACTGCAGTGCTCCCCCACCAGTGTCCCAGCACTTAAAGCCATACTTCCCAGAAAGAAAAAGTGGCCCACTGCTCAGACGAATGAGGTACATAGCAAGCAAAAGAATGTAGAGACCTGCCAACACACACGAATGCTGGCCATGGCAGAGTGGACATCACTGTGGCTCCCTGAGAGTTTACAAGAAAAGGGGCCACCAACCTGAGTGACACCATGTAGCCGGGTGTGGGGGCTACTTGCATGGAGTCTGATGGGGGTAAGGACCAGGCCAAGTGGGCTGTCCACCACCTGCCAACAGGTACCACAGCAATCATCACAGGCCCTCCAGAGCCTCAATCACCCAGCGAGGACAGCATTCAAAACAACCCTTCACACCAGCAGTGCTCCAATTCAGACCAGAGCTCAGAGGTCAGCCCTTTCCCCTTCTCACCACCCACTGTCTTGGCAAACTTCTGGCTTTGTATTCAAATCTATCTTCCTTGCTGGATGGAGAGCTCCTTAGAGAGCAGTCAACATCCTGAAATTTATCACTCTATTCCTTGTGCATCCCATATAGCACAAAGGCACTCAACAAAAAGGTCACTTCTGATCAAATGAACAGAATCCATTTGGGGCCAAAAGCTTCCATACTGCCAATCTGTAGGCCTCCCCCACCAGACTGAAAGCTCCTTTGGGAGCAAGGACATTATCTTGTATACCATTAGCACAGCACCTAATATAGGGCGGGTGTTTACTAGCTAAAGTTGTTGAATGAATGAAAGAATGAGTTTTTGCGGCTACAGCCATTTTCCACTTTTAAGAAAATCCTACAGACAAAAATTTAACCGTTCAAAACTGGTAACACTGAGAGCCATTACTGACAATATAATTTTATGCTTTACATGATTCTTTTAAATGCCAAGGTCCCCTAAATAACTAATTTACAAGAATTCCACTTACAGATTCTAGCAACAAGCCAGGGGAGGCACATCTAGGCTGGGAAATGGCAAGTATAGCTTTGCCATTTGCTCTAACAGCTGATTCACTAGTTAACGTGATTCCTGGGGCCCTGTCTGCATTTAAGCACCAGTGTCCAGATCTGAGCAGCGTAGGCAGTCTCCAGGAGTCAGCTGGGACCACAGGGTGGGGCAGTGAAACTACAGGAAGTCCTCTATACTCTGCTCCCCCTGGGAGGAGGGCCACAGCACAAACCGGCTTTGTGTGCACTCTAGGTTAGCTTGGAGGTGAAGAGAAGCCCTTTGCTCATCGTTAACTTCTGCTCCTCAACAGGTAGAGTGTCATCTGGCCTTCCCCTCCTCCTCCTCTAAGGTGCTTAAGGAGACATGTGGGCAGCCACCCTCACATCTACTTCTTTTCCCAGCACCCATGGAAGATGGTGCTTGAGCTGTCACCATCAGTCCTTTGCATAATCAATCTCTTCATTTAACTGTCTCCAAGAAAACTTCTGAAGGCAACAGGAAGCAAAAGCCTGTCTGAAGTTACCTCCTCCCTCCTTGTGGACAGGGCCTGTTCACCCAGGATTTCTGTGGATAGCAGTTCAACATGTAAGAATGACAAGCTGCTCAATAAAAAAGACAAGAAAAAGAAAAAGATTAAAAACAAAAACAAAAAAAAGGTTCTGGGGGAGTCAGATAAACCAGGTCTGAATCTTGGCTCTGCTTTTATGGCAGTGTAAGCTCAGATGAGACACTTACTTAACCTCACTGATCCTAAGTTTCTTTCTCTACAAAATGAGAACAGCAATACTGACTTTACAGAAGCCTATGAAGGTTACGTGTGCATATGAAAAGCATAAACTGCTCCACACAGTGCCTGGCACATATTATCTCCTGAGCTTAGTAATCTCTGTCAAATTAGATTCTCATCAACTCTGCCAACTGTGATGATGAAATGAGAAAAATGGGTTGAAATGCGTTATAGCCTATATATTAGACACACCTAAGAAATCACTACTGTTATGCTGGGCAGTCACTCCAGTAGACCCTGCAGCTCTGCAAATCGACGAGGGAGGGAGTGTGCTTCCCTCCAGCATAAGCACAGAACCACTGCCGAGATTTTTCTGACACTACCCTTGTGACTATGGCTTCTGACCTCCATGAAAGCATTCCACATGTACCTCTAACCCTCTTGCAGTCCCCAGTCTACAGACAGAAAAAACAATACACTAAAGGAAAGTGATATGCCTTAAAATGGAGAAAACCTGAAACAGAACTAAGGAGGCAATCCAGGCTTCTTACCCCAATCAAGGCCCTGGTCCCTCCCAGGAACCCATCCCATCTCACTACACAATTATTCTATACATCACAACCATCTGCTACACGGCCGCACCCCACCTTCAGGGTCTCTGACACCAGCTGTTTCAAACAGAGAAACCAAGGTCCAGAGAGGAAAAAGGTCACACAGTTCGTAGGCAGCAACGCCTGGTCTTTTCAACGCGGCAGCCTCCCTACAAACTGGCTGACCTTGGCTCCAAGGGCTTTTGGCAGCGAGCTGTCTTATGAGCTGCACCTGTGTCGGGCCAGAGCTGGGGCTGAGCGCAAGGTTAAATGTGATAGCAGCTCCTACTCAACGCGAACTTAATTGTGCCTGGCTTTGAACTGAACATTTTAATAAATCCTCACACCCGCTCTCCGAGGTGACTGCAATCCTTATCTTCGTTTCTCGTCGGGGAGACTAAGGCAGAGTGAAAGAGATCTGCTGTGGTCTGGGGGCCGATATACGGGAGTACCCGGCCCAGGCTTGGGGTGCCTCGGCTTTCCTCCTGCACCCCACGCCTTGCAGCCTCCGGGAGTTCCGACCCAGGTCCAGCCCGCGGACCTCCGGAGCACGCACGAGGGGCCTAGGCTGGCACGAACGCAGCGCGCCCGGGTCACGTGGCCAGCCGGATCTTCACGGTGCTGAGGCAGTTGGGGGTCGGGGCCTCCCCTCTCCCAGAGGCCGTTGCCTTCCGCACCGCTTCGTGGTACTCACCCCGGGCAAGGACTCCCGGAACCCGGGAGAAGAGGACGGAGAGGAAAGGAGGGTAGCAGAGACCCCACAGGTCTACAGCCTGCTCCACAAAACCACGACCAAACGCGACAGCAGCACCCAGCCAGCAAGCGATACCTTTGTCCGCTCACATCACGTCACTTCCGGGCGCCCGGAGGGCGGGGCCACGACTGGCTCCGCCCTGGGATCGACTCTCCTAGTCCCGCGGGTTCCCGACCTTGGCTTGAGTTTTCCGTGTCCAGAAGGACCTCCCCAACTTACAAGACCCGCAGCGCCAGACCATCACCCGGTCTCTAGCACGTGCACGAGTTCATTTGGAGGCTGCGAGGCTGGGCTTTTAAAAACTAGTGTTCTGTGGGTTTTCCACTGGGTAAAAAAGCGTTTACTCCTCAAATCACACCCTTTCCCATAAGCATCTTAGATTAATATACTGCCTAAAAAATAAAGAAAAGAAAAAGAAATAACCTTGGCAAGGCTAAGGGATTACCACTCCAAGTAAGCAGAACAAGTCTATGAAGTTTGCAGTCCAAACAGGTTGCCCTACCCTAGGCTGTTTCTATACAGCATAGAAATTCTGGAGTGGACCCCTGAAGCAGCCGTGATGGGAATGTGAGCTTGCAGGTAGGTAGGCTCTGTTAACCTCTCCAAGCTTTAGTCACTTCTACTGCCAGACAGAGGTGATTGCTCACCTTCCGATGCTCTGAAGGTTGCATTAGTGGGATATTGCATGTCAAGCATTCAGCACCACACTTGCTCTGTGGGTTCTCAGGAAATGGAAGCTGTTATGACAACATCATTACATCATTACAACAAACAATACAAGCCACTGCCTTCGAGTTGATTCCAACACAGAAGCAACCCTATAGGACAGAGTAGAACTGCCCCATAGGATTTCCAAGCCTGTAATCTTTACCGGGAGTCCTGATGGGGTTAAGCGTTCAGCTGCTAACCAAAATGTTGGCAGTTCAAATCCACCAGCCACGCCTTGGAAACCATGTGGTGCGGTTCTACTCTGTCCTGTAGGGTCGTTATGAGTCGGAATCAAAGAAGAGAAAGCAGATTGCCACATCTTTCTCCCGTGGAGCGGCTGGCGGGTTCAATTCGCTGAACTTTTGGTTAGCAGCCCAGCATTTAACCACTGTGCCATCAGGGCTCCATAGTCATCATTAGTAAGTTCATGTTTCCTAAGCTGACATCCTGGCCTTAAATTTACAGTGCCTTCAGGTGGGTGTTGCACAGAGGAGGTGATCAACGTGTGTTTGCTCTAATGAAGTGAAAGCTATGGGGGGTGGGGGCACTGAAAAGTCCTGGCTGCAGTTCAGCCCCCTATATCTGTTTATGTACAAATTATTTGGCATCTTCTCCAGCCTACTTCAGGTCAGACTTGGTTGCCCTGACCTGGACCCCTCTTCCAAGCTTTATTTCCCATGTCTCTAAGAGAAGAGGAAGCCCTGGTAGTGCAGTGATTAAAGCACTCAGCTGCTAACTGGAATGTCAGTGGTTCAAACCCACCAGCTGCTCTGCGGCTTTTGTAAATGTTTACAGCCTCGGAAACCCTTTGGGGTCACTACGAGTCAGACTCAACAGCAGTGGATTTGGTCTTGGTGCCGGGAAGAAGATAGATCCTGGGCAATTTCTACTGCTGGGAATGTCTAGAATTCTCTTTTGTGGGAGGGCTCTGATGCCAGCTCTTCACATGCCTAAAAATCTGTTGTTAGGTGCCATGGAGCCAATTTCAACTAATAGCGACCCTATGTGACAGAGTAGAACTTCCCCATGGGGTTTTCTTGGCTATAATCTTTACGGAAGCAGATCACCAAGTCTTTCTCCTGCAGAGCAGCTAGGTGGGTTCAGGTAGCAGCTGACTGCTTAACCATTTTTGCCACTAGGGCTCCTTCCTAAAAATCTACCCCCACTTTTATTTTCTGCCAATGAAAAAGAAAGCCCCGTCCCCACACCCAGACCTCCAAGGCCCTTCCAGGTCTGCCCAGTCCCCTGACCTCAAAACCTCTAAATTCCCAAGCCTAGCACATAGTAGCTACTCAGTAAATGTTTGCAGAATTCAAGGGCTGGAGGGCTTCTTAGACATTGTCTAATTAGTCTGGTGTTCCTCACCTAATTTTTAAAAATTCACACACCCTTTGGATAAATATAAAGATTTCTCACCTCAATTTTCTAACTCCCCAAGGAGGTATGCCCCTACATCCCTAGTTAAGGAGCATTTGCAGAAAATGGCAAACATCTTTTGTGATGCCTTCTCCAGGCAGATGCCCTGTAATTTGAATTACAAAGTCATATTTTCATTTCCAGACTGTAAAACTACGCCATGACAATGAAACTACTAGTTCAGACCACCCTTGACTCTCATCCAAGTTTCACAATATGTGCCTCTTCCCTGCCCCCTCCCAGCTGAGAGTCCATCAGTCCATTTTACAATGGAGCTCGGAAAACAGAGGGACTTGTCGCGTCATGCAAAAAACAGCAGTAGAACATGCACTTGAGATTGGATTTCGTAGTTTCCAGGCCACTGCATTCCTCACTGCCCAGCCTTGCAGCAGAAGTTCTGCTTCAAGAGCCACCTAGCCAGTCTCCTGACCAAATATGACCCACCTGGGCCTCCTGCCTCCCTCCCTGGTCAGGAGTCCCACTTGCTCCCTGCCCCTTCAGTCCCCTGGACTCAACAGCCCCACCCTCTCCCCCCAAGCCTCAGTGCCCTCTGCTCTTCAGGTGGCTGTGGGTGAGGGGCGGATCACAATGACCCTGAAGAGGTCCTGGAGGCAGCAGGGAGGGGCCCACCGTGGGACCAGGGCCAGGAAGATGGGCTTGCTCAGGGACCAGCCCACCTGTTAGGGGGCTCTAAGCTCTTGGGACCTTCTCAGGCCCCACCCAGAAGTCCCACCAGGGTGAGTGTGACACCAGGAGCCAGCTCCAAGCTGAAACAATCTTGGGATGGGGTGTGGTGGGCGGGAAGCAGGCTTGGAGATCCCCAGTGTCAGAGCTGGGGGCGGGGTTGAGGCCCTGGCTCCCAAAGGAGGCAGTTTGTTAACAATGTGTCTTGGCCCCGCCCCAGATCTACTGAATCAAAATCTGGAGTGGGAGGTGGGGACAGCCATCTGTATTTTCAACAATCTCCCCTCCTAGGGCCTCTGAGGCACCACCAGGATTGGTGAACTGCTGGTCCCAGGCTTCCTAACTCCCAGTAGAGTGCTAATTAACAGTACTAGCCTCCACAATTTGAACACACCATGTGCTGAGTACTTTCCACCGGCGTGATGCTATTTCACTCTCACAAAGAGGCAGGTACTCCCGTTGTCCCCATTCTACAGATGAAGAGGCTGAGAGAAGTCAATTAACTGGCTTGCCCAAGGTGACACAGCTAAAAGTGAAGTTGAGACTAAATCCTAAGGAATAATAATTTTAAAATATTAAGAATAGCAGTTAGTTTTTATTGAGCACTTATAATGTGCCTAGTACTGTTCTAAGCGATTCCCATGTACTTGCTCATTTAAACGTCACAGCAACCCAAAGGTGAGCACTCCTACCGTCATCACTTTTCAAATGAGGAAACAGAAGCTTGGGAGCTCTATCCTGAGGCCACTGTCTGCAGAACCCGTGATGTTAACCTCCAAACCGCACTGCCCCACTCTAGGCACTATGGTCTGGGGGCTGCTCTATCTCTGCCCTTCCCCCCACCTCACACGGCACTTCCCCACCCCTAGCTGGCGTGAGGATGCCCTGAGCTGAGCGCAGGGCCAGACATGCTCCGGTGTCACCTCAAGCCGGGGGCCCAGGAGGTGGCGCCCAAGGGGTTTCCCGGTGATGGAGATCTCCGAATGAGGAAAGACCCGCTGCTGCCCTGGCTGACCCTGCCCGAGCTCCGAGCGGTCTCTCCGCAGGTTGGCGCAGGCGGCTCAAGGGGCTCAAGAGGCCCGGGAGTCGAGGCCCCGTGGTGGCAGGCCCCTAGGCACGGGCTCCCGGACATACTGGTGCACCAGGCCACAGATCCTGGGGTGGACGTCGGGAGCCCCGCGCCGCGCCTGCCCGCCCTGCCCACGGTGGTCCAGCGGGTGGCGCAGAACCCGGCAGTGCTGAGCTCCCTGCTGCTGCCGCCCGTGCTCTCGGCCGACGCGCCCCGGGAGCCATCGGCGTCCCGGCGTCCAACGCCTAGAAAGAAGGAGGACCACCGGAGGGGCTTGGCCAGGGAGGCCCCGAGGGCCTTCGGGGCCCTGCTACGAGAGTTCCTCCCCAACAGGTTCCGTGAG